GCTGGGATTACAGGCTTGAGCCACCGCGCCCGGCCCCTCCTCTGACATTTTCTTTACTAATCAAACTGTCCATTCACTTTCGTCTCCTTCCTCGTCCCACTCCTTTTATATCCCATGTACCTTGTCCTCAATCTTCTCAGATTGTTTTCTCCATGCTTTATTTCCCTTACTATCATACAGTTTGTTTTATTCTTTTTGTTTATTACCTTTGAGGAAACGCCCATATAACCTTTCTGAATACATCTAGTTATTCAGTGAAGTTCCCCATGTCTTCTGTAAAAGTATGGAATTGGGCCGGGCGCGGTGGCTCACACCTGTAATCCCAGCACTTTGGGAGGCCGAGGCGGGTGGATCACGGGGTCAAGAGATCGAGACCATCCTGGCTAACATGGTGAAACCCCATCTCTACTAAAAATACAAAAATTAGTTGAGCATGGTGGTGCGTGCCTGTAGTCCCAGCTACTCGGGAGGCTGAGGCAGGAGAATTGCTTGAACCCGGGAGGCGGAGGTTGCAGTGAGCCGAGATCCTGCCACTGCACTCCAGCCTGGAACCTGGCGACGGAGCAAGACTCTGTGTCAAAAAACAAACAAACAAAAAGTACGGAATTGGGGTCAGAAGAGTCAAGTTTGAGTCCCAGTTCCTCCAAGTCACTTTACCTCAGTGTTCTTTCCTGTTAAAAAGGAGAGCACTAATCCTGCACTGCTGCTTCCATTCTTGTGTGGCATGAAAGCAGAAATGAAGGCCTGAACAAGGACGTCGTTGACGTCGTTGCTGATCCACTCCTCAGGGGCTAAGCAGGCAGAGGAGAATGAATGTGGGCTCTGGAGCCAGAACTGGATTTAAATTTTGGCTCCATTTTTAACTAGCTGTGTGACATTGCAGAGACAACTTAACCTCTAAGCCTCAGTTTCCTCATCTGAGCCTCATTTTCATGGGGGCAGGAGGCAGGTTTTTCTTCATTCAAAGAAAAATAGCAGCTGGGTGTGGTGGCTCCTGCCTGTAATCCCACATGATTTTTCGGAGGCCTAGGTGGGCAGATCACAAGGTCAGAAGTTCAAGACCAGCCTGGCCAATATGGGGAAACCTTGTTTCTACTAAAAATACAAAAATTAGCTGGATGTGGTGGTGGGCACCTGTAGTCAGCTACTCAGGAGGATGAGGCAGGAGAATCGCTTGAACCCAGGAGGCGGAGGTTGCAGTGAGCCAAGATTGCGCCACTGCACTCTAGCCTGGGTGACAGAATGAGATTCTGTCTCAAAAAAAAGAAGAAAAATATCTACTTCAAAAGATTGTGTTCGGGAACAAGAAAAGGATGTCTGCGCTCATCACTTCTATTAATATTGTGTTAGAGGTTATAGCCAGGGCAATTAGGCTACAAAAAGAACTTTTAAAGTTAGGAAAGAAAAAGTAAAACTATCTCTATTAACAGATGACATGATCTTGTATATGGAAAATCTAAATAATCCACTAAAACACTATTAAAGCTAAACACAACTTTACTAAGGTAGAAAGATACAAGAATATATAAAAATTTACTGTATTTGTATACACTAGCAATGAACTATCCAAAAATGAAATTAAGAAAACAATTTTATTTAAAACAGCATCAAAAACAATAAAATATTTAGAAATGAACTTAACCAAAAAAGTGTAAGACTTGTAAATGAAATTACAAAACATTGTTGAAAGAAATTAAAGACTTAAATAAGTGGAAAGACATTTCACATTTCTGAATGAGAATACTTAATATTGTTAAGATGGCAATACTCTCAAAACTGATTTACAGATTCAATGCAATCTTTATCAAAGTCCCAGCTGGATTTTTGTGGAAATTGATGGACTGATCTTAAAATTTATACAGAAATGCAAGAGACCCAGAGTATTGAAAACAATCTGAAGAGTAAGAAAGTTGGAAGAGGCCGGGCGCGATGGCTCAAGCCTGTAATCCCAGCACTTTGGGAGGCCGAGGCGGGTGGATCACGAGGTCAAGAGATCGAGACCATCCTGGTCAACATGGTGAAACCCCGTCTCTAC